CGCATCTACATTTTCCCGCCTGACCCCATCAGTGCCGACCCAACTCCACCACCACACGCACGCCTCGCGGCGGATGCGCAGCAGCAAGAAGGTTTCGGTCATCCCTTGAGGGTGAGTCTAGCCCTGCTCGCCAGAAAGACCCCCCCCTTCGCTACAACCCATGTCTAAGCAAAAGCTTGTCGAGGAGCGAGGGGAAGAAGGGAGAGTCGAGTGGAACAACATATTGGTGAAATTGAGAGCGAGGGCCAAAAAAACAAAATTCGGGTCCAGACGCCTCTTGCCATTTCTTCGGAAGTTTGGGGCGGGCTCTTCCAAGAAGTAAATGTAAGGTCTCATCAGCAGCGTCACGAGCATATGCGTGTCATCGTCATCGGATGCTGCAGCTAGGAGCTAGACAAGTGGCTAGATTTCCCAGATTTGATATTTCTGCCTCAAACTGTTGCAGGGCGGTTTGGCCTCGGGCGGTGGGCTCCGCTGTAGCTTTTTCTGCTCGCCGCTGTAACTCCACATCGAGACTCCTACAGGCTGACCAGGGTATCTGCTTGCTGCCACGGGCAATTCAAGCTACACAGCAACCTCCACATCTCAGCAGTAGTCCAGTTGCAGCGCATCGCGCAATCTCGCCCTCAATCAGATGATGATGCTTCGCCCTCAATTTCACCAATATGCTGTTGTGGGCGGCAACAAGGTGCAACTTTCTTTTCCCTCTTTTCCCGTGTTGCCCTTTGCGAGTGCTTCCATGTGGTGGCAGTGAGTGGTGTGATTTGAGGTGTCGAGGGCGGAGAGGCGGAATCCTAGGGAGGGGTCCGCCAGCCGATGATGCTGTGTCGCCGAACCCAATGATGGCGTTACCGCTTGGATGTGGCCGAAAACGTAACCACTGCTGTTAAGACATGACGATAAAGGGTGTCACCACAGCCGCAGTATGTTGGTTGCACACGATCGATTAAAGACACCCCCCCGTTACTCAGATGCATTTTTGAAGACGACGACGATGCCAAAAATAGGCGGTGTGTTGAGGAGTGTGGACAAGTCCGACAAAGAGTTCCCTCTACTATGAACTACATACTGTAGGCTGCGGAATTCTGTGGAATCCATTTGAGAGGCGGTGTTTCATTTATTCATTTAGATTACTATTTATTTATTTATTTTCTTCACTTCACATCAGCGCTAACGGCACTATTTAGTGCCGTTTACTCCAACCCGTTGTCACACAGAAGAGCCCCTCTCCACCTTCCCCTCCTGCGATGCTTTGCTATCGATTTCTAATGCGATAAGAGTTCAGCACTCTCTTGCCTCTTGTGTACACACGAACTAGCGCTATCGGCCAGGAGCGGAAGCGAGAGAAAAACTCACTTCGCAAGAAAAAAAGCTCGCTCACGCCGGGGTTCGGACCCCTGAACTGACTTCAAGCAAGGTTCCGAGTTTACCAACTTGACCACCGGGGCGACCTTTATTGTCGGAGCCCAGCACGTCGGTAGTGTGACACAATTTGTTGTACTAAAAATAGACGGGGTTGGCCGCTGTCGGTACTGTGACACGTTTGAAAAGCGGCCCAGGAGGGGCACACATCCCCTGCGATCTTTGCAACAGACAGCATACCCAGCACATAGCACGCGGAGAAGGAGGAGTGCGTGGGACATGGAAGCAACACGCCCTCGCTGCTGCTGCTGCTGCTGCTGCTGCTGCTGCTGCTGTGCCGCAAAAGCGCACAGCTACAACTAACTGCTGTAGCAATGATGTGTAGTCTAGCGGCAAGAAAGAAGCATCAACAGACGCGAAACGCACAACAAGCGCACAGCAGCAACAATACGGTTGGCGCACTGACGCAGTGGCACCATACTACACTCTAGCAACTAACTGCTGCTGCTGTTCTTTGGTGTACGGTGGTGTGGTGCAGAACGACTGGGTGAGACGGAGATCATGCTCGATTTTTGCCGTTGAGAATTGATTTGGAGACTACTACTAGCTAGAGTAAACCGGCCAATGAACGAACGCTTAAGCCACCCCTCGCGCCAACAGCTCGTTCTCGGGCATGAAGAGGAGTATGATGTATTTGTGGGTACCGGACGATAGCTTGTATTATAGGCTACCTCCCTAAAAAAAAAAAAAAAATCGTTCGTGTCAACGAGATAGAGCTGATGCAGTGCATTCCATTGTTTAGCTGAAAATGCAGGAAAACACCCCCCCTCCCCAATTAACGAACACTTTAGCTTTGTAGCTGCTTTCGTGCGATCTGAAGCGTTTCATGATCTGATTTTTTGTGGAGATACGTCTGTCGCAACATATATCCGTTTAGGAAAGAAAAAAAAATGGAATCGATCCACGCCCGGGGACAAAATACTCACATCCCCGGGTTTTCCGCCTGAAATCGGGGACGGATTTTACCCCATTTTTGACCGTACGGCGGTGCTGCACACATGAAAAGAGCCAAAACTAAGAGATTATTGCACAGTGGGTCTAATCTGATCATATACAGACTCAAGAAAAAAAAATTAGGACGAAAAACTTCGCGCATGTGATGTAATGCCCGTTCAANAAAGAGATTATTGCACAGTGGGTCTTATCTGATCATATACAGACTCAAGAAAAAAAAATTAGGACGAAAAACTTCGCGCATGTGATGTAATGCCCGTTCAAACAGGCACCCCTTGACC